ATTTGATTGCTTATTATACCTTATGATTATCATTAAGTGTTGCACCTGATGATTCTTGACTCTTGATGAATGTATCTTTTTTATGTACCCTGAGAGCATTTGCACCAAGACAAATTCCTTGTGTGTCCAATCACACTTGGCCAATAAAGAATTCTATTCTATTCTATTCTATTCTATTCTATTCTATTCTATTCTATTCCTTCCAATATTTATTCTATTCTATTCTATTCTATTCTATTCTATTCTATTCTATTCTATTCCATTCCATTCCATTCTATTCCTTCCAATATTGATTCTATTCTATTCTATTCTATTCTATTCTATTCTATTCTATTCTATTCCTTCCAATATTGATTCTATTCTATTCTATTCTATTCTATTCTATTCTATTCTATTCTATTCTATTCTATTCTATTCTATTCTATTCTATTCTATTCTATTCCATTCCATTCCATTCCATTCCATTCCACATTCTATATTCTATATTCTATTCTATTCTAATTTCATGGAAGCTGGAGAAGAAACAACTTGTTGGAGACTCTACTATGTCTAATCTCAAAAGCAAAATGTGCCTCAAATTGAAATTTCTTTTCTTCACACTAGCATCAAGCAAAGCAGGACAGGGTTTAGTAATGGCTTCACAAGCGGCAACCCTAACTCGATTCTCCCCCTTTTCTCATTAGAGCCAAAGGGCTCGATCTGCCCCAGCCCAGATGCCAACCGTGCCCACCTGTCAACAGGCGTCACCCTTCACTCCTCCGGCACATCCTCAAGGCTTCTCGGAAGCTCTTTGCCACCTGCGCTTCAGACGATGTCATACTTAACCTTCCTTGCCCTCTTCCTTTCATCCTGGAGGTGTTTAATTGCCTCTGATTCACAGAGCGGCACTTCAGGTGAACGCAGCCCGATGGTCTCATTAACATCAGCACAAAAGAACATTCCGTGACAGGAACTGAGCAAATCTCGGCTCGCGCTGACTTGGACAAGCTCCCAAAAGGGACCAGGAGCATCCAGGTTCCATGGGTCTCTCTCAGATCCTCTAAAGCAGGGGTGACAAACTCAAGGCGGGATGCGGCCAGCGATGGGGTCGGATCTGGTCCACATCACTTTAGCCTGGTCCACCTGCTGTCAGGACTCCAACAGGCACCTCCATTCAATTCATAAGTCTCTAGCCGCATCTCTCAGATTGATTTATTAGGACTTGACATGCACTCCCTTTCTACTGCCAACTAAAAAGACCAATGAAGTATTTTTTTTAGTTGATACCCGTGTTGCTCTGGCCTGTTCTACCCAATGCGAAGAGGAAAGATCGGGCCGACATAGTTTTAGCCAGTGGTTGGGATTCAATTTTTTTTTTACTACCGGTTCTGTGGGCGTGGCTGGGTGGGCGTGGCAGGGGAAGGTTATCCCCATTCCCTCCCTACCCCACTAACCTGCTTTCCAGCTCCAGTCTCCTGTGCAGGGCAACCAAAGAAGACCCAGCCAATCAGCTAGGACTCGATGGGAGGCAGAGAATCGATGGGGGTGGGGCCAGTCAGAGGTGGTATTGGCCAGTTCTCTGAACGACTCGAAATTTCCACTACTGGTTCTCCAGAACTGTTCAGAACCTGCTGAATACCACCTCTGCTCCTCACCCCACTGACCTGCTTTCCAGCTCCGTTCTCCTGGGCGGGGCAACCAAAGAAGACCCAGCCGATCAGCTGGGACTCAATGGGAGGCAGAGAAGAGATTGGGTGCAGGGCCAATCAGAGGTGGGATTGGCCAGTTCTCCAAACTACTCACAATTTCTGCTACTGGTTCTCCAGAACTGGTCAGAACCTGCTGAAGACCCACCTCTGGTTTTGGCCCGGTCTACTCAGTGTGATGAGGAAACATGCCAGCAGTTCGGGGATGGCGTCAAACATGCCTGGTTGGCCACACCCATCAGTTGGCTATGCCTGCCTGGCCCCCCGAGGTCAACCACAGCCCTGATGCAGTCCTTGATGAAATTGAGTTTGAGATCCCTGCTCTAAAGCAATGTTCCTCTAGAAACCTAGGAGTGTCCCTTGTGTCTACTCAACCTTGGCCACCTCTGGACATCAACTCTCAGAATCCCTGGCTGGGGAATTTTGGGAGTTGAAGACCACCCATCTTAAAATGGCCACGGTTGAATAGATGCACCATGGACACTCCTGCCATTGAAGAAAAATATATCTCAGTATCTACAGACCCCTCACATCCTGGACGTAAATTGTTTCAACTTCTACCCTCAAAAATAATGTTGCACACCAGAACAACTAGACACAAGGACAGTTGTGCCATCACTCTGCTAAACAACTAATTCCCACAACACTGTCAAACTATTTACTAAATCTGCATTACTATTATACTTCTCATCCTTCCTATTATCAATCTCCTCCCACTTACATCTATAACCTTGTTGCTTGTATCTTTACGATTTATATTGTTTTGCTTCCTAGTATGATTTGACTGCTTATTTAGTATCTTATGACTATCACTAAGTGTTGTATCTTATGATTCTTGATGAATGTATTTTTTATGTACGCTGAGAGCTTATGTATCAAAGACAAATTCCTTGTGTGTCCAATCACACTTGGCCAATAAAGAATTTTATTTTCTGTTCCATCTTCATATACCTAGACTTGGTGGCTAAACACCATTTCTCTTCTCTATTGTAGGGTTTCAGACTTCTTCAAGTCATAAAATAGCCATAAAATTTACCATGCACGCACCTTAATGCCATGTCCTTGAGCAGCATAAGTTCCTCATTGGGCTGATTTAAGGACCATCATAACATTTTTCAGCTTCAGTTCAAGTTCTTAAAACCACAAGGGAAGGGAAAATGCTACGACACCACAACTGAGGGGCTGCCACAGAAAGGAAGGGGTCAAGCTATTCTCCAGGACACTCAAAGGCCAGACAAGGAATAATGGATGGAAACTGAACAAGGAGAGATTTAACCTGGAAATAAGGAGAAACTTTCTGACAGAATAATCAACCAATGGAACAAAGGTTGCCCTCAGAAGTTGTGGGAAGCCTCCATCACTGAAGGCTTCCAAGAAGAGATTGGACTGCTATTTGTCAGAAATGGTGTAGGGTCTCCTGCCTAGGCAGGGGGTTGGACTAGGTGACCTACAAGGTTCCTTCCAAATCTGATTATCTGTATCGGTAACTCTCCTCAATGCTAAACAAACAAACAAAAAAGAAACAGGCAGAAAAACCCATTAACACAACCAAAAAAACCAAGTTATGGTTTAAGAAAAAAAAAAGGAGGTGCAGAAAGATCTTGTCATGCCTCTGTTGGAATCTGATTCCAAGGGGGAGGTTGAGCAGCTGACAGGAAGTGGGAGTGTGGCTCCAGTAGCTGTGGAAGAAACTGGGGAAGGGCACAGTCCGGCTGGGCAGAGCAGGGGAGAGATAGAGCAAGGGAGAGGGAGTTCAGAGGAAGACCCAGACCCACCCCCCTCTTCATCCTAGGGCATGCAGGGAGGAACGGAGAAGGAGCAACATGAGTTGCATGGCTTACGGGGGAGGAAAGAGCCCTGATTCCCTTCATTAGCTGCAGCTGGGGAAACAGTGTTTAAAAAGGCAAGCTATGCACAGTAAAGTTGCTGGAAACAAACCGTGAGTTATCTTTGTCGAGGCTTATCTTGGTTACTGGTGTATTCCCAACTGTGTGTGTTTTATTGGCCTTTGAAGTCTGCAATTCCTTCTCCTGCCCTGCCCAGTTAATTGCTGCAGCGTGGTTTGTGCGGATTTTTATTTACGGTTTATATGTACTTTGTTTTCAGTTTGTTTTCAGTACAGTTTATATATACTTTGTACTTGAATTTCCTCCACTTAAAAACTGTTCTTGGGAGAGTTTTTTTCTCCAGCCAAAGGTAACTGGACATTGGGGGCAAAGTTGGAGGTATTAAAGGGACTTTTCTTACTTATGTGACTGTGTTACCTTTGTGCCACACCCCGGGTCATCACAGGTCTCTTCAGAAATCTGAGACTTGACTCCGTGGATATATTCTTGTGTATATTGAATGGTTGCTACAATTGGTTGCACCTTCAAGCAAAGCAGTTCTGTTGCCAATTTCCTCCCTCTCATATTTCAGGACAGGAAGAGAGGCACTTTGAAAGCCCCCACAGACCAAGATCAGAAGAAAAAACATGGGTGAATGGTGGTTACTTGGACACCATTTCCAACAGACAAGAACCATTAGCTCTTCAAGGTTCCTTTAGGCCTGTGGGACTCGGACATACAAGTCGAGGAAATCAACATCTGGTCTGAAATTCTTCCGTCCTGAGAACAGGAAGTGTCAAAAGCACCATGCTTATTTTATTTATTTACTTATTTGCCCTGTTTCCTCGAAAGTACGACCTACCCTGAAAGTAAGTCCTAGCTTGATTTTTACACGTGCACCCAATATAAGCCCTACCCCTCAAAATAAGCCCTAATTAAGATCCCAGAGTGGACAGGTAAAAATTAAGCTAGGGTGGGGATGAGGTGGCGGTGGATCTGTCCAACTACGTACCTTTGGACAGTTGTAGCCAGGCCTTGCCCACCCCGACACCAGCCTTGCCGGCCCATTTCTTCTGCAGCCAGCAAGGCTGGCAAAGCTTTCCTGAAGGCCTCTGTAGCTGCTAACAAAGCTCTGGATCGATCCAGAGCTCTGTTACCGGCTGCAGAGGCCTTCAGGAAAGCCTTGCCGGCCACAGAAGAAGAAGTTCCTGAAGGCCTCTGACAGCAAAAAGGAGGCTGGGGGCAACGCACGCAAGTGAGGTTCGTCAGTGGATGAAATCCCCCGAAAATAAGACCTGGTGCCTTTTTTGGGTGGCCCAAAAATATATATATATAAAACAGGGTCTTATTTTCAGGGAAACATGTATTAGAATTTGTCAAACCAAAATGAGAACAAGAATAGAAAAATAAAAATGCAATGACAGGGGCAATAGGCACGTTCCTGCACTTATGCATGCCCTCCCGCCTCTACTACTACTACGTTCTACACTCTTGGGAAAGTTGTCCACAAGTCAACATCTTCAGCAGAGCTCCCCTTGCAAGACGGCAGAGGTCCCCAGGGCCACCCTGCCCTCAACGTGGACAACAGCCTCTCCAGGAAGGAGCAGTTTCTTTCCAAGAGCTGTCGCGGAGACTCACAACCAATCCTGGTTGTGTGTCTAAAGCACATTTCTATACTCTTGGCGGTTTCGGAGGAAAGGTCAGATTTAAGCTATCACCATGTTTCGAAATGCAATTTGTGAAGTGCGGCATAATGAAATGGTTCAGCAAGGGTGCAAGAGGAATTTCTTTTAATTAGATCCATGGCTTTTGAGTTGTCAACATGAATAAAAAGCAAGGAAAAACACCGAACTTGCAAAACATGGTATCCAAAGGAGGAGGAGGGGGGGGGGAAGAGAGAAACCTCCTTCAATCCAAGTTGCTTTTAAAAAGGGAGCTGAACACTGCACATTTTTAAAAAAAATAAATAAATCACAAACTTCATGCTCAGGTACCCGGTTAACAAATTAAAAAAAACCAACAAGGGATGAGAGAAAGCAAACCTCTTTGATGGTGACCTTCTCCAAAGAAGACGACCACCAAACCAGCGAGAAGAGGAAAAGATGCTTCACAAATCAGAAACAATTATCATAAGCCAATTAGCTTCCCCCCCCTCCAAGATGGAAGGGCTTTTGACGGGCTGGAATAAATGCTGTCTTGAAGAGGCCGGTGGTGGCCCTGACACCATTCTACCAACAAATCTCCACCTTGGTGAACCTCTTGTCATAAATCCTCTCCTAAAAGGGCAACCAAGCAGGAGCTTCAGAATGATAGATGCTGGATTCCTCTTGGGGATTAGTACAAACATTTATCAAGGCATGGAAGAAACAGCAAAGGAGAAGATTTCCCAACAGAAACACGGGGGCCTTTTTCTAGGGACACTCCAAGCAGTCAACTGGAGAGGAGATTTAACAGAATAACAGAGTTGGAAAGGACCTAGTAGGTCATCTAGTCCAACCCCCACCCACCCAAGCAGGAGACCCTACTGACAGATTCTGACCATTTCTGACAGATGGCAGCCCAACCCTCTTCTTGAAAGCTTCCAGGGATGAAGCTACACAACTTCTGAAGGCAACTTTGGTTCCATGGGTTGGATGCTCTCACTGTCAAAAAGTTTCTCCTTATTTCCAGGTTGAATCTCTCCTTGATCAGTTTCCATCCATTATTCCTTGTCTGGCCTTCAGGTGCCTTGGAAAATAGCTTGCCCCTTCCTCCCCTCTGTGACATTTGAGGGGTCAGTCCTAATTACGCCACGTTTGGAATATCTGTCGAGGTCTATTTTATTTAACTTTTCGAAGCGGCCACTATTTTGTTCTCCTGAGCTGTTGTTAATGGGTGATATTTTAATTTTATGCTTGGTGTTTGCTCTATGGGGTTTCTTCTGCTTTTAAACCTGCTGGTTGGTTCTATTTTACTGACCTCTCTGGAGTATTTGCTGGTTTTAATTTTTGGTAGCTAGTGGAAAGTCTCTTTGTCCTCCACTCCATCTTATGTTGGCTATCTGCTGGCCCAGAGGTGACTCTCCTACAGCAGTGACCATCAAAGGTTGAAGAGACCAAGGTGAGCCCTTCCCTCATCCGATCCTGGCAAACCACTTTTACCAACTGATGGGTGTGAACCTCACCATCTTTCACCTCCTAAGGATGATGGAGTTATTCAACCTTTCCATCGTCTGACTGCAAAACTTTACTTAGTGGCCCTTTGTTTAGGAGAACCAGTAGACCACCCTTTGAGAATACAAGGAAAAAGAACCAGGAAGGAATCTTAGGGTACTCACTATGTCATTGGGGAGGCTTTGTAGATCATCAAAAGGTGTTTCCAGTGTGTTGGTGTCCACATTCAGGATGACCACATCATCCAGAGAAATGTTTCTGACTTTCTGAAAATGAAACAGGGAGAAGCAAGTAGTTACTTATGCCCCAAACTCAAGAGTACAAACATGTTGTTAGGTGGTTTCCAAAATTCAGTTGTCTCCAATATATATCTATCTATATCTATATCTATCTATATCTATATCTATAATCAATCAATCTATCTATCTATCTATCTATCTATCTATCTATCTATCTATCTACCTACCTACCTACCTACCTACCTACCTACCTACCTACCATCTATATAGTATCTATCTATCTATCTATCTATCTATCTATCTATCTATCTACCTACCTACCTACCTACCTACCTACCTACCTACCTATATAGTATGTATATAGTATCTATATAGTATCTATCATCTATCTATCTATCTATCTATCTATCTATCTACCTACCTACCTACCTACCTACCTACCTATATAGTATGTATATAGTATCTATATAGTATCTATCATCTATCTATCATCTATCTATCTATCTACCTACCTACCTACCTACCTACCTATCTATATAGTATCTATCTAGTATCTATCTAGTATCTATCTATCTATCTATCTATCTATCTATCTATCTATCTATCTATCTATCTATCTATCTATCTATCTATCCAAATGGTTTCCTTTCTTCTAGTCAGGTTAGGCTAGATATATCTGTTCTGTTCTGACCTAGGCTTCCCAAAATCATGAAGCAGACTCCTCGTCCTGACAAAACCCCCTTTTAATAGGCTAATGTGAATTCTTCTCATTCACATCCAGCAAAGTCCCTGCAAACAGTCTTTCAAGGGTGAATTGCAACCACAGATCTTATCAGGCTTCAAGAGTTGCCAGGCCAATAGCTTCCAAGCGCAATGCTGTACAAGAAAATACTTGGCAAGGAGTCTCTGAGAGTCACGAACAAATCTTCACACTAATTAAACAAACTAATTGTCTCCATTCCCCTTTCGCTCCTCTTTATTCCTTATGGGAGGGGCCATTCAATGTCCACCTGTGCCTTTACTCTCGAGTCAACCCTTGTTCCTTAGCTGTTCCCTTCTCCTGGCAGCTCTGTGCATGTGCACACTGGGAACAGGCTCCAGCTATTCTTCTGCCCCACTGATCTCCGACTGCGAAGGCAGCTGATAACTGTGGAAGGCCCTGGCCCCATCTCTGCCTCCTCGTCCTAGCCTTTCCCAGACTCTAGGACTGGCCCATGCTCCTCCCCAACCTCCTCATGTCCAAATCTGTCCACAACAATGTCCTCCAAAAGGCTTTGTTCTATGTCTTTACTGAACTGCAAATTCATGATGACTTCTCAGTCTTCCACAGAAATTTAGCACTCAATGATGCCTCTATAATTAAGACCTCCAGTGCTATTTGGGTAGGACCCTGTTTGTGGATCATCAACAAGTGAAATTTAACAACTAAAGTAATAATCTCATCTCATCTCTTGAATTGTTCCCAAAAAGTCTCCCCAGCGGAGAAGACAAGACCCAGCATGCAATCTGAGTTGTCAAATTTTATGGTGTTTGGAGAGTAGCAGCGAAACCCATTGTTCTTCACTCAGGAATTTCTTCCAGAGAGCAAGACTTCATCCTTACTTTACTCCACAGCTAGATTTCAATAAATGTCCACTTAGCCTCTCTCTTAAAGTAGATAACGGTACTTCAGTTGACACCGGTGATGTATCTTCTTTGACAAAGTGATAAAACATGCCTTTGACTCACAGGGATATCAATGAGGCCTTGTCCCCTTGGCAAAAAAAGAAGAAGTGGCACCATCAATTAATCAACCCAACTAGACTTGATCGACTGCTCAGCTCTTTTCCCACGCCGCAGAATGCTTTGAGGAAAAGCAGAAAAGCCCACTTTAAATCGTTGGGGAGTTTAAATCATCTACCGTAGAAATGGTGGTAGACTTTAGGAGAAACCCTCCCATACTATTACCTCTTACAATACTAGACAACACAGTATCAACAGTAGAGACCATCAAATTTTTAGGTTCTATCATACCACATGACCTAAAATGGACACCTAACATCAAAAACATCAAAAAAGCACAACAAAGAATGTTCTTTCTGTGCCAACTCAGGAAGCTCAAACTGCCCAAGGAGCTACTAAGCCAGTTCTACAGAGGAATTATTGAGTCTATCATCTGTACTTCTATAAAATTATCCTATCAAATTCTGTACCTGTCAACAGTGGTGTCCCCCCGGGGCAGTGTTCTAGGACCAACTCTTTTCATACTCGACATAAATGACCTCTGTGATCATATTAAGAGCAATTGCGTTCTTTTCGCTGATGATGTAAAGCTGTTCAATACCACAGACAATACTGCTACCCTTCAAAAAGGCCTCGACTATGTATCAGAATGGTCAAGCAAATGGCAACTTCAAATCTCAACAAATAAATGCTCTGTCCTACATATTGGCAAAAAAAATCGGAAAATAAACATACAAGCTGAATAGTCAAGACCTTGTTGATGATCCAAACTCTGTCAAGGACCTTGGAGTACTCATCTCTAATGACCTAAGTGCTAGAGCCCACTGTAACTACATAGCCAAAAAGGCATTAAGAGTTGTTAACCTAATCTTACGTAGCTTTTTCTCTGGTAATATCACACTATTAACTAGAGCATACAAAACATTTGCTAGACCAATACTTGAATACAGCTCATCAGTCTGGAACCCACATTACGTATCTGATATTAACACAGTGGAGAAAGTCCAGAAATATTTCACAAGAAGAGTTCTCCACTCCTCTCCTCATTGCAGAATACCTTATGCCACCAGACTTGAAATTCTAGACCTAGAAAACTCAGAACTACGCCGCCTTTGGTCCGATCTACGTATAGCATATAAAATCATACGTTGCAATGTCCTACCTGTCAATGAATACTTCAGCTTCAACCATAACAACACAAGAGCAAACAATAGATACCAACTCAAGGTTAATCACACCAAACTTGATTGCAGGAAATACGCCTTCAGCAACAAAGTGGTCAATGTCTGGAATCCTCTACCTGACTCTGTGGTTTTTTTCCCCAAACCCCAAAAACTTTAACCTTAGACTGTCTACTATTGACCTCACCCCTTTCCTAAGAGGTCTGTAGGGGGCGTGCATAAACACACCAACGTGCCTACCGTCCCTGTCCTATTGTTTCTTTTATATATTTTTTAAATTTTTCTTATATGTATCCATGTATTCATAACTATGTTTTTACTTATACCTATTATCTTGTAAGCAATTGACAAATATAAATAAATAAATAAACAAACAAACAAATAAATAATGGTCTGGTTTGGTTCTGCAACCCCACAAGACAGACACAGACTTCAGAGAGTAATTAGGGCTGCAGAAAAAAACCATTGCTGCCAACTTGCCTTCCATGGAGGACCTGTATCAAAAAGAGGGCTGTGAAAATATCTCCAGGCCCCTCACATCCTGGACATAAACTGTTTCAACTCCTTCCCTCAAAACGACACTATAGAACATTGCACATCAGAACAACTAGACACAAGGAGGGTTTTTCCCCGAACGCCATCACTCTGCTAAACAAATAATTCCCTCAACACCGTCCAACTATTTACAAAGTCTGCACTACTATTACTGTTAATCTTCTCATCACTCCTTATCACCCGTCCCCTCCCACTTGTGACTATATGGCTATAACTCTGTTGTTTGTATCCTTATGATTTATATTGTCTGTTTCCTAGTATAATTTGATTGCTTATTGTACCTTATGATTATCATTAAGTGTTGCACCTGATAATTCTTGACTCTTGACGAATGTATCTTTTCTTTTATGTACACTGAGAGCATTTGCACCAAGACAAATTCCTTGTGTGTCCAATCACACTTGGCCAATAAAGAATTCTATTCTGTTCTGTTCTGTTCTATTCTCTGTTCTGTTTTCTGTTCTATTCTGTTCTGTTCTGTTCTAATCCAATCCAATCTAATCTCTATCTATTCTATTTTCTGTTCTATTCTGTTCTACTCCATTCTATATTTTCTATTCTGTTCTGTTCCGTTCCGTTCCATTCCATTCAGTTCTGAAAGATTTGCAAACCAAGATGTTTTAGGAGCTCCTAGGTCTCCTTAGGAAGTTTCATGATTCTGGACAAGGCGTCCAAGCAGGCTGTGGAAACCTGGAGGTTACAGGAAAACTTGCAAACAACAATGCATTGATTTGGCCGTTCAAGAGGGGAAAGAGACCAGATCTCCTTTTACGATTGGGTAAGGAAAGCTTTAATTAAAATCACACTCTTGATTTACAATCTGAAAGAGCTATTCCACAGACCAGTAGGGTTAAGCAATGCATGTCCTTTGACCTCTGACCCTTTTGACCCATGGGCAACAGGTGGCCTCTGACTTCCGCCCATTCATACACACAGATAACAGATAACAAATAATCAGAGTTGGAAGGGATCTTGTAGGTCATCTAGTCTGACCCCCTGCCCAAGCAGAAGACCCTACACCATTTGTGACAGATGGCAGTCCATTCTCTTCTTTAAAGCCTCCAGGGATGAAGGTCCCACAACTTCTGAAGGCAACTTCTGTTCCACGGGTTGATTGTTCTCCTTGTCAGAAAATTCCTCCTTATTTCCAGGTCGAATCTCTCCTTGTTCAGTTTCCATCCATTGTCCCTGTGATGACCCAGGGCATGGCACGAAGGCAACACAGTTAGATAAGCAATAAGAATCTCTTTATTATCTCCAACTTTGCCCCCAATGTCCAAGTTACCTTCTGGCTGGAGAAAAACTCTCCCAGGAACAGCCTTTGACTGCAGAAAATTAAGTCCAAAACAGGGTCAACGCAAACTGTAACTTAAACTCCAACCAAGCCAAACTGAAGTAATTAGTTTGGCAGGGCAGGAGCAAGAATTTCAGACTTGAAGGCACAGCAAAACTTACACAGTTGGAAAGACGCCAGGAACACAGATAAGCCAGGAACACAGGATAAAGTCATGTTTGCTCCCAGCAGCCTGCCACATACAGCCTCCCTTTCTTATCAACTGTTTTCCCAGCTGTGGCTAATGAAGGGAATCAGGGCCCTTTCCTCCCCCGTAAGCCATGCAACCCCACGTTGCTCTCTTCTCCGTTCCTCCCTGCATGCCCTAGGATGAAGAAAGGGTGGGCTGGTTTGTCCTCTAAACCCCCTTCTCCCTTGTTCTACCTGCTCTGCCCAGCCGGACTTTGCCCTTCCCCAGTTTCCTCCACAACAAACAGTACCACACTCCCATTCCCTGTCAGATGTCCGGTTTCCTCCTCAGATTCAGACTCCGACAGGGGCATGACAAAACCTTTATTTCTTGAGGCCCACAAAGAACCGTCTGAATTCGGCCACGAAAACTTTGAAGGAAGAGGCAGGAAGGATCAGGGCGAGATGCTCCGATGATCTGATCTTAATCTTAACAGAGCGCTTATCCTTCTGTTTCCAGAATTGGAATGGCCAGTGCCATAAACAAATTAAGGTCTTCCATTATTCATAGAGCAGAACACCCACCCCCTTCTGTCTTGTGTTTGGTGCCTGACCAAATTTCTCGCTCCTTTGAAGTTGCTTTAGAGATGGCTAAATAGAAACCGTAAGCTGAATGAAGGATGAGGTGATGACAGAGAACTTGGGAAGAAAGGAATTGGGGGGGGGAATTCCACTTTGGGGAAACTGGGGTGGGTTTCTAAATCAGAAACAGTGGACCAACTCTCACTCCACACACACACACACACACACACACACACACACACACACACACACCAATAATTTTATCTCAGTGGAGAGTTTTCCAGCCATAGCAAATAAGTCCCAACAAGTTATGGACAGGTTTGATATTTTAACTCTCAAGGAACATACAGTCTATCTCCGTCACAAGCAAAACCCAAAATTTTCCTGGGAAGGGACCTTGGAGGTCTTCTAGTCCAACCCTCCCTGCTCAAGCTGGGAAATCCTGTATCATTTCAGACAAATGGCCGTCCAATCTCTTCTTTAAAAACCCTGGTTTTTGGAGCACCCCTAACTTTTAGAGGCAGACTGTTCCACTGTTTTATAGTTCTCGTTGAAATTTTCTCCTTAGTTCTATGTTGCTTCTCTCCTTGATTAGTTTCCATCCGTTGCTTTTTGTCCTGCTTTCTGGTGCTTTGGAGAATAGCTTGACTCCCTCTTCTTTGGGGCAGCCCCTCAAATATTGGAAGACAGCTATCATGTCACCCCTAGTTCTTCTTTTCATTAAACTAGACATACCCAATTCCTGCAACCGTTCTTCATGTTTTAGCCTTCAGCTCCCTAACTATCTCAGTTTCTCTTCTCTGCATTCTTTCTAATCTTATACAATTTCTCCTATTTTTTGCAACTCCCTCTCAAATGCCTGCAATGGTTTACAGCTTAAGAGGAAAAAAACAACAACAACTATGCACCTAGTTTGGAGATGCCTGACAGTTACTGAAAAAGTTTCTGCCAAAAAAATGTCAGAATCAAATTGAGAGGGGAAGTTTCTGACACTTCAACCCTGTTCCCAGGCCAAAGAGACTTACCTCTATCAGACTTAAATGAACTCCTATGAGGTAGGGCATCGGAGCGCTGGAAGGAAAGAGGGGGAAAAAATGGTTGAGTTTCACAAAGACAGAAATGAGAGTATTACAATCTAGTTTGACCGAGTGGATATGGCCGGTGCTTGCTTTACTTCTATGCAGAACTCACTTGATTCCCAGATCCTGCAATGAACAGGTTAACAGAGTCAGAAGGGACCTTGTAGGTCATCTAGTCTGACCCCCCGCCCAAGCAGAAGACCCTACACCATTTGATGGCAGTCCATTCTCTTCTTGGAAGCCTCCAGGGATGAAGGTCCCACAACTTCTGAAGGCAACTTCTGTTCCATGGGTGGATTGTTCTCCTTGTCAGAAAATTCCTCCTTATTTCCAGGTCGAATCTCTCCTTGATCAGTTTCCATCCATTGTTCCTGGTCTGGCCTTCGGGTGCCTTCGGAAACAGCTTGACCCCCTCCTCCTCTCTGGGGCAACCCCTCAAATATTGGAACCCTGCCCTCATGTCACCCCATTCCTTCTTTTCATTAAACGAGACATATCCAATTGCAACAACCGTTTTTCATATGTTTTAGCCTCCAGTCCCCTAATCTTCTTTGTTGCTCTTCTCTGCACTCTTTCTAGAGTCTCAACCTCTTTTTTATAGTGTGGTGACCAAAACTGGATGCAGTACTCTAGGTGTG